GAGTGCGGGTACGGCCTCCCGAGCGTGCCGCACGCGTTCGCGGTGAAGGCCGCGGAGAACGCGCTCCCGACGTTCTTCTGGGGCGACGCCGAGCCTGCTTCGTGGGGCCCTGAGTCGTGCGCAGATGGCTCGGGCTTCGAGTCGGCGCAGCCCGAGTTGACGCGCTGCGGTTGGTCCGCAGTTCAGATTGATGAACATTTGTTGCCTGCCCGGGCCATGTGCGGCCCTCTCCCGGGCATCCAGACAGTAGGCAGAGCTGAGAGATGGGCTGTGCTTCGTCTTGTCCAGCACGCGTCTGCCACGCGGCACATCGTGAGTGATTTGTTGAGTTTAGTGTCTGAGGGCGAGTCTTGGGACCCCGCCCTTGAGAGCTCCAGAGGCAAGCATGCTCGGATTTGGAGGCTCATTTTCGGGGCGGTTGGTTCCAGAGCGCCCCCTAGGTTTAGCTGGACCCCAGCCCACAAGAGCCCCGAGGAGGCCCTCTCTCTTGAGATCCCTCTCAGGTGGTGGGTGGGGAATCTGTGGGCCGACTGGTTTGCCAAGCTCGGGGCGTCAGCGCATGCTGTGTCGTCGGTGCACGCTGAGTACCTCTCGTCGGAGCTCCAGCGTGCCAAGGCGATCCTGAAGTATGTCTCTTGGGCGGCCAGCCGAGCGGTCGAGCTCGACCTTTGGCGCGACCCGCCCGAGGCCGTCCCCAGGCGTCCTTGTACAGGTGGGCCGCCAGTTCTCAGGCTAATGTCGCACTCCCTCGTTCGCGTCGAGCCTTCAATGGAGGTCCGGTGCCGCAAGTGTATGTGCGTTGCCCGCGCAAGCGGGCACCTTGCCCACCTTGTGAATGATGAATGTAAGCCTCTGCCCACCCAAGCGTGGGCCGCGAGGTGCTTTTTCTCGAAGCCAGGTCTGGTGGTTCGCGATTTCAGGGGTCCTGTTACGGGTCCGTGCGTGTCCGAGGCCCTGGCGGCAGCTGAGGAGGTCCTGGGGCCCGTGCCTGCGCCGCCAGGGGAGCCACCAGATGGGCTCGAGGCCTTCAGGGAGCTAAATCACATTTTAGTCACCCACGGTGCCATGGTCTGCTGCACCCAGTGTGGGGCCTCGGCGTCGGGGGAGGAGGGGTGGAGCGGTCGTTCGAATCTGAATTCGAAGTGTGCGGGGCCGTCTTCCAATCCTGCCACCAGGGCCAGCCAAAAGCGGAAGGCCGACATGGTGCAGCGTGGCCGCCACCCCAAGACAGGGGCCCCGTTGTGAATGCAAATCTTTAAGATTTCGGTGTACCGGTCCATCCGTGCAGATTTCGGTGTACCGGTCCATCCGTGCATTCTGGCTGCAACGACGCTACAGGGCGGCTGAGGGGCAGAGAGGCTGCACTCTTCACACCCGTGGCCCCCACTGGCCTGAACTCGTTCATCTTGAGGCATCGCCTCCCCCTCCCGCCTTAAGTGGCTAGGGGTTCCATGTTTCCAGGGTTTTTCGGTTTCTCGGAGAACTCCTGCTGGCTGCTCGTCGCCTCCTCCTCCTCCTCCTTCTCCTCCTCCTCCTCCTCCTCCTCCTCCTCTGGAATTCTAGACGCTTCGCGTAGCCCCACCAGCTATTAATCATCTGGCGTGTCACCTCATGCTCGATACTTTCCGCTCTCTGGAATCGTCCTTGGAGCCGCCCATCAAAAAAAAGCAACCCCACCAGCTTCTCTCCGTCTAATCCAGTCTGGTGCTTGCGTCCCCGTTCTCGGGCCGCTCGCATCTTAAGGGGGGGCATTCTGCCTCTTGCAGGTGCACCTGTTGCGTCGGCCTAGGCGCCTTCGTCACCAATTATCTCGCCCTGTGCCCCAGACGCGCCCGCCCCGCTTCTTGGACTTTTCCTTGGAGCGACCCACAGCGCAAGGTCATCAGGTGGGAGTACGACACCGAGGACGCGTCGGCCCCCTCCTCGCAGGGCTCGTGTTGCTGGCTATGCGGCAAGACTTGGCGCACCAAAGTGAGGCACTTGCAGGAGGGGCCTGACCAGGAGAGGGAGCACTATGCCAAGCAACTTGGCAAGGACAACAAAGTAACCCCACCAGCTTTTTCCCTACCTAGGCTCTGCCTAGAAGGGTTCTTACTCTCTGAGCTTAAAGGGTCCGGGCAGTGGATATCGCCCCGGGCGGTTCCCCCGACATCCGCCCCGCCATTCCCCCAGTCGCGCCCCCTTAGCCTAGCGTTGCTTATCTCATCTTAGCTTAGCTTATTAGCATGGGTGTAATTCCCTACCTAGGCTCTGCCTAGAGGGTCATTTTAGCTTAGCGTAGCTTAGCTTAGCCTGGCATAACGCAGCGCTGCATTAGCACAACATAGCATGATCATAACATAATATAGCCAATCATAGCACATCGTAGCATCGCATAGCGCAGTATAGCATATACTAGCATATCATCGCATATCATATCATATCATATCATATCATGTCGTACCATAACACAGCGCAGCTTAACATATCATAACATACCATTTCATAGCACATCATAGCTTAACGTAGCACAGCGCATCATGCCATACCATAGCTTACCATATCATGTCATAACATATCTTAACATAACATCTCAGATCATATCATACCATAACGCACCATAACATAACATTACATATCGTAGCATCGCATAGCGCAGCATAACATGGCATATCATAGCATAACACAGCATAGCATAGCAGCTGATGCTGCTTTCCTAGGTGGTCCAACCTCTAGTTAGGGTCGCACAGGGGTATTTGTTTCTTCGACGGCGCGCAGCTGCCTGCGTCGCCCGCGATCAAAAAGTAACCCCACCAGCCCACCCAGAAACAATGCCCAGAGGAGTTGCCTCGATCAGGGAAGTGGGCAGCACACAGAGGAAGGGTCCCCCAGTGGAGGCCTCTTGGAGCGTCTTTTGGGGCCTCTTGGCGGTCCCGGGCGCCTCTCAGAGCGTCTTGGGTTCCTCGGAGAGCTTCTTGGGGCCTCTCTTGGAGGCCTGTTGGGCGCCTGTTGGGGCCTCCTGAGGCCTCCTGGGCGCCTCTTGGGGCCCTCTTGGCGCGCTCTTGCGAGCCTTGGGAGCGCTCTTGGGGCCCTCGTGGGCCATCTTGGAGCCACTTTGAAGCCTCGGATGGCCATCGGAAGCGAAAAGGTGAGAAAGCCAAAAACATTGATTTTCCTAAAGTTTTGGAAGGATTGTGGCCTCTTCGGGGCCTCTTGGGGGAGCTCTTTAGCCACTTGTAGCCGTCTTGGAGCGGTCTCGGGGCCTCTTGGAGCATCATGGGAGCCATTTTGAGGCATCTTGGGATATCGTGAGCCATCTTGGAGGTCATCCTGGGCTCCCCCAGGCGCTTCTGGAGTCATCTTAACCAGTGCCCCCCACAGGAGGCCAAAATGTGGCCGAAACTTTAGTAAAATCAGTGATGTTGGCATTGTCGCCGAGGCCTCTTGGAGCGTCTTGGGTGCCTCGGGGGCCTCTTGAGGCCTCTCGGGGGTCTCTTGGGAGCCTCTTGGGGGCATCCTGGGGGCGTCGTGGGGGCCTCTTGGGGCCTCCTGGCCACCTCTTGGGGCCCTCTAGGGGCACCCTTGGGAGCCTTGGGAGCGCTCGTGGGGCCATCTCGGAGGAGATCGATCAAAGGAAGGGGGGGTCTCAATTAGTGCCGCCCCCCGAAAAGGCCAAAATGGGGCCAAAACCATCGTAAAGCTAATAATTTTCGCTTCCTCGCCGAGGCCGTTTTGGACGCTCCGACTGCTCGCGGAACGCCCCGTCCAGGTCCAGGGGAGGGGGCAGGGGGAGAGGTAAACCTCTCCCCGAATGGGAAGAAGGGGGTGGAAGAGGAAACACCCTAAACCACCTACGCCCTAAAGGGCTCGTGGGATCACTCCAGCATCGAACCCTCATCGCAGCAACATTGAAGGGGCGGGACAGGGACCAGAGCAGCCAGGACATGGGGTGCAAGCGCGGTAGTGTACTCTTTGGTGTATCAAGTATCCGCGGCACTGAGGCGAGAGCATTATTCCTGAGTAAATCGTGGTGACGTCTCAGGCGGAACGACTCCTGGACTGGGTGGTCTAGGGCTCCGTGCTTGCCTGTGTGGGACTCTTCTGTGGTCCGTTCTACTTCCATTCGAACCCTCTAGCGAAACGCTACCAGGGAAACGTTTAGAGGCAGGTTTTTCGACTTGCTCGGCCTCTGGGGGCCTTCGCCAGGCCCTGGGCCCGTCGAAACCGAATCAGGATGAAAGGCCGGCCCTGGGGACAGGGTCGGGACATCTGGGGATCCCGTACTGAGCAGGTCAAGACGCGGGATGTCGTGGTATGTCCATATCCACCACCTCGGAGTCGTGTCCCGGGATCTCGAGGAGCAGTGTATCTGGATATCTGCCCGCCCACGTGGGCGGGCAGATGTCCATTTCCACCGCTCCCCTGGTCCTGGGGACACGACCCCGCAGCAGCGGGTATGGCCACACCTTGGCGGCGTGCAGTGTAGGCTAGCGTAGGCTTGCCTCGCTGACCTCCGTTGGCAATGTGGAAGAGCCTCCTGTGGCCCTCTGCGCAGCGCGCCCCCGCATGCCGGAGGGGGCCTCTGTGGATACGGGTTGGCGCCGGCACCCTCCTCGTCTTGACCACACAACCCAGTCCTTGAAGGCCTGGACATGGGCACCACCACCAACACGGGGGTTGCCTCCTCAGGGTAAGATGATCCTAGATCTTGGTGTTGGTGGTAATAATTCGGCCACCTTGGAAGCCCGAATATTACGACCATCACCGAGATCGGGAGCGTCTTCCCTCGGTAGAGACACACCGCCGATCTTGGTGTTGGTGTCAACCTCTAGGCCTCCGAAGTCCCCCTCGAGTCATGAAGAACCCACGACGGAAGGGTTCCCGCTACTTTCGGTCTCTGGAGGCCCTCCCCGGGCCTCGGGGCTGTGAACAAAAAACGCGAGAAGCTGGTCCTGGGCAGTGGGCGGAGATCTCTAGGCGTCGACGGTGTGAAAAAAGCTTGACGTCGGGAGTCCCTGCAGGCTTCACACCACAGAGAAGAAGGGCAACTGCGTCTACGGGAGGAGGTGCAGGCGGCCGGACTGCTGGTTCCAGCACCCCGAGGGCCGAGCCATCATCTTCGGCAAGGCCCGCAGCGCGTCCAGCCCCTCCCCGCAGCGCCCGCAGGCGAGGTCCCCCAGCCGGGCGGGGCGGCGCCGGAGCTCCTCGGGGTCGCCGCCGCGGCGCCAGCCCGGCCTGGTGCGGCCCTGCTGGCGCGGGGTGGGCTGCTCCCGCAGGGGCAGGGGCTGCCCTTACGACCACCCGACCGTGCAGTCGGAGTGGCACACTGTCGAGCGGCAGGTTCGGAGGGCACCAGCTTCGGTTGGCCTGGTCGTCGTCGCCGTCGTTGTCCGTCGTCGTCGTCGTCGTCGTCGTCGTCGTCGTCGTCGTCGTCGTCGGCGGCGGCGGCGGCGGCGGCGGCGGCGGCGGCGGCGGCTGCGGCGGCGGCGGCGGCGGCGGCCGCCTGTGTTTCCTTGGTGGCCTGGACCTCGTACCCCTACGGTCGGCGTTGGAAAGGTGGCGTGCGATGTGGGGCTGCTGGCCCGCTTATTTCAGGCTATCCCCCGCCTTGGGGATAGCGTGCACCAAAGAAGCCCCGGCAAGGGGTAGAGCGTGCTCCGAAAAGGGCCCTCGCCGGGGGATCGCCTCCCAGGGATAGCGTGTTTTTTCGGAGATCGATTCTGCTCGCTATCCTTCCAACGCCAACCGGATACACCTGCACCGATCCTGGCCAGGCCGATCGTGGGCCCAGGAACGGTGTGTATGCCTTCCTGCCCAGGCAAGAAGCGCAGGCAGGCACCGATCCTGGGCCCGGGAGGAGCCTGGCCAGGGTCGGCGCAGGGGGGCCAGCTGGTGTCCTCCTGCAGGTGCTGGCCCGGTGCAACAACGGCTACTTCTGCACGCGCCTGCGCTGCAAGTATCCCAGGCGCCTGCGGCAGGCTCCGCCGCACCCGTCGTGCTGGCGCGATCGATCGGGCACGGCGGTTCCTCGGGAGCCGCCCTGGAGGCCGTCGCGCGTGGCCTGCTCTCGTCCCCGAGGCCCTGGAAGGGCCGTGGCAGGTGGCGCGCCTCTTCAGGCTCACGAAGGCCGAAGCATGTGGTGGGAGGATGAGGATGAGGAGGAGGAGGAGGAGGAGGAGGAGGAGGAGGAGGATGAGGATGAGGGTGAGGATGAGGATGAGTATGAGGATGAGGATGAGGATGCTGCTGCTGCTGATGATGATGCTGATGATGATGATGATGATGATGATGATGATGATGATGATGATGACGATGATGCTGATGCTGATGCTGATGCTGATGCTGATGATGACGCTGATGCTGATGATGGTGATGATGATGATGATGATGATGCTGATGATGATGATGATGATGATGATGATGATGATGATGATGATGATGATGATGATGATGATGATGATGATGATGATGATGATGATGATGATGATGATGATGATGATGCTGCTTCCCAGGGGCGTCTTGGGGCGCCTCTGCTTCCCAACTCCCACGGGCAGGGCCGTAGCACTCGGCATCAGAGGTTTTTTCAGGCCTCCCAGGGACCCTGCAGGAGGGGCCCTTTGGGAGCTTCTTTGCATCAACGGTGTTAAGGCCTCCCGGGGACCCTGCTGGGGGGTCTCTTGGGAGCTTCTTTGGGGCTTTCTGTCTTCGGGCCCTTCCTGTCAGGATCTTGAGGCCCTCTGGGGGTCTCCTGGGCCAGTTCAGGAGGATCGTGGGGCAGTCTTGCGGGTGTCTTGGGGCCGCCTCGGGCCAGCCCAGGGGGTCTTTCTGGCGGATGGGTTGGGGCCTCCTCCCGCGCGAGCTTGCTGGAGAGCCTCTTGTAGGCCATTCGGGGTCCTCTTCGGGAATTCTTGGAATTCTTGAGGCAATGCTGGGTCGTCTTGGCGACACTTGGAGGCTTTCTTGGACCGTCTGGGCGGCCGTCTTGTAGATTTTGGTTGGAAGCCTCGGATACTGCTGAAGAGTCTTCGGGACGCCCAGGGGTCCAGGAAACAGTCTTGTAGATCTCAGTCGGACGCCTTGGATGCTGTCGGGGAGGCTTCGGGACGCCCATGGGGCCTTGACCTGACATCCGCCGATCTGTTTTTGCAGTGCGCGGCCCAGGAGGTCCCGACCGCTTCCCTGGGGGCCACGGTTCGTCCGGACCCGTGTTTGATGGTCCTCAGGCCCGAAAACGACCCGAACATCGACATCGAGGAGAAGCGGCGCCCAGATTTTTTCAAGTCTCCAGAGATCTGGGAGCCTCGGGGAGTGCCTCTGGAGCACCAGGAAGCCCATGGCGTGCCGCGCGGTGCTGGCGGACCAGCACCCAGAAGGGCGCGTGGGGCCGGCGCCGCAGTGCAACGGCACCGTCAGCACGCGCCGAGTGTCCCGGTCGCCCTCGCGGGCTCCTCGGGCCTCCCGAAGGGGGCCGGGGCAGACGTGGTCGGAGGGGCCCGGCCTGCTCGCGTCGTGAACAGAAGCAAGACGGACGGTTTTCGGCAGTGTTCGGCCGTCAGTCGGTATCGTTTAACCAATCCCCATCCCCATCCCCATCCCCTTCGAGACCCCCACGAAATTACCACCCCAGTTGGGGATACACCCCTCGAAACTCGAAGGGAACGACTATATCCCCATCTGGGGGGGTAAATCGGCCAGTGGGGCCCAGGCCACGCCGCTGGGGATGGGGATCGGTTAAACGATATTCAGTCAGGACGGGGCCGTCGAGAAAGGCTCGGGATGAGCTGGCAGTCCCCCGGACGGGGTTCAGACCTCCGGGGGTCCACCCTGCGACAAGAGCCACGACGTCGGGGGCCTCGGGATCGCGCCGCGTCGTCGATGCACCGGCTGCTCGGCGCGGCCCGGAGCCCGACTTCCTCCACCCCGCGCGTCGCAGAGGCGTCGCCGATGCACCGGCGGCGCGGTGCGATTCTCCTGCCCCGCCCTCGCGGGCCCCACTCGGGAGGCCCTCCCAGGCTCCCGGGGGCCCCCCGCAGGACGCGCCCGAGGGCGCGGAGGGGGGCAGGGCCAGCAGCGCCCGCTCGGAGTCCGGAGGGCGGCCCGAGGGGGCGGGGAAGAAGAAGAGGAAGAGCAAAACGAAGAAGGAGGAGAAGAAGGATCACGGCGCAGATGGGGGCAGTGGGGGGAGGGGGGGAGGAATCTCGGAGGCAGGGTGCTGCGCAGAAGGTGCGGGCCGTGTCCACAGACGTAAGGCCTGCGACTTCTGAGAGGCAGTCACCTTCCAAGAGAAACATTCCCCACCCCCCCTAGCCCGCTCCGCGCGCCGCCAACACTACCCACCAAACCACCCCAATCCAACCCGAAGGCCCCAGGATTGCCCTCCACTACCAGTGGGGAGGGGGCATCCGGGAACATTGAGCAAAACACAGATGGAACCCGTACCCCCCAAACCCAGAGTTTGGAACTTCGGGTTGGGTTGAGGTGGTCTGGCAGGGAGTCAAAGGAGAAGAAGGCCGAGCGAAAGGCGAAGAAGGCCACCAAGAGGGAGAGGATCGGAGGGCGCCAATTCACCCCCTAGATCTCTGACGACATGCTTTTTCAATCCGGCCGTCTTGTGAAGGTTGTTAGGGCGGGACCCCGAGGCTGGTCAACGCCCAACGGAGGCCGCCTCGTGACCGTTCTTAGGGCGGGACCTCGAGGCTGGTCAGCGCCCCACGGCACTGCACAGTAGAAGGTGAAATGTCAAGCTTCGGGCGGCTCGAGCTGCCTCCTCTCTCATGATGGAGTGAGTGCGGCGCTGATCCGTCACAATCTGGGCGCACCCTGAGATCCGGCGTGGTAGCAGAGACTGCGACATCGCAGAACACAGACCCCATCTTTCTGCGCCATTTTCGAGCCGGACCGATCCGTGAGGGTCCCAGGGCCCGAAACGGAGCGAGTACACCTCAGGCGATGGTTAAGAAAACCTAAGTTTTCGGCCAGAGTCTCGATTATTCTTAATGTTTCAATGTAAATCCCAAGAGTTTGATAGAAATGCTGGGTTTTCATTCAAGTTCTGAGACTATGAATTTCTTAACCCATGATTTCTTAAGCATTTCGCAGGGTGTACGCCCGTTGTGAAACAGATGCGACGCCAGGATCTCAGGGTCTTCCCCGACCTTCCGCCCTCAGGGCCCGCTGTCGGGACCTCCCCGGGCCGCGCACGGAGAGTGATGGGTCAATGTTCCACCGCCACTACCATAAGCAGGACGGGGGGAGAAAGGAGGATGGGGAGGTCCTCCCCCTCCTCCTCCTCCTCCTCCTCCTCCTCCTCCTCCTCCTCCTCCTCCTCCTCCTCCTCCTCCTCCTCCTCCTCCTCCTCCTCCTCCTCCTCCTCCTCCTCCTCTCCTCCTCCTCCTCCTCTCCTCCTCCTCCTCCTCCTCCTCCTCCTCCTCCCTCCTCCTCCTCCTCCTCCTCCCCCTCCCCTCCTCCTCCCTCCTCCTTCCTCCTCCTCCTCCTCCTCCTCCTCCTCCTCCTCCTCCTCCTCCTCCTCCTCCTCCTCCTCCTCCTCTTCCTCCTACCATCTGGTGGAAGATCGGCCCATCAGTGAGGGCACCACGTCGTCGGCTCTCCAGGGGCGCCGCGGGCGGAGTCCTGCCGTGCACACGCCCTCTGGGCCCCTACGGCCGGTGTGTGCACGCCTCCCCCCGTTTGCCCTGGGCCGAGGCGAGACGAGGCCCAGAGCCCCGCTGTTTCGTGCTGCTTGCGCCAAGTCGGGCGTGTCCCTCTGCAGGAGGAGTATTCGAACATAGTAAGAAAAAAAGTCAGGGGACGATTTTTTCGCTACTTTTGACAATGCTTGACTATTTTCGAGTGCTTGTGACTACTTTTGACTATGTTTGACTATTTTTGACTACTTTCGACAGTTTTGGGGCACTCTTCGTTGTTCTTCCAAAGCCCGCCTGCAGGAGGGCATGCCCGACCTCATGCTCGCGCATTTTCCCCGGGGCCCGCTGCCTCATCCCGAGCAGTCTTTTGACCGCTCCCGGGGCCCAGCAAAAGCGTTCCTGGGAGGCCTGGGAGTGGCGGCAGAAGCCTCCCGCCGTGCAGCTTCCGCGGCGCGAGCAGGTCTGGGGAGGGCGCCGGCCCGGTCCCCGGCCCGGGATCGGCCCAGCCAGGGCCGGTGATTACCAGCCTCGAACGTATCCCTATCCCTAAGATTGACACGCCAAAAGGCGATGACAATCTTAGGGATTCGCCCTCAAAGAATAAGGGAATCCCTAAGATGGGCATCGTGATGAGGAGATGCCCAGCATAGGGATAGGGATATGTTCCAGGCTGGTAAGGTGAGCTGGCCCGTGGGCGTCGGGGGCTGCCAGCTGGGGGGTGACGACGAGGGGGGGGGCGGGCTGACAGTGGAGACCCATGACAAGAAACACCCTGCTTGCCTCCAGGGTGCCCTGGGCTTCCTGGGTCTCGATGGTCTTGCGGCGGAAGGCGTGACGTTCCCACACCAAAAATCAATGGACGTCCTGGGGTCTCAGGGTTGGTTTTCTTGTGGAAGGTTTCCTGTGGACTGGCCCCTGCTGCATTTTACTACGTCCCCTGGCCCCCCCTGGGCCGCGCGCATGCGTCAGGCCATGCTTGGCGAACCCCCCTCTTGGACACCCCCTCAGATCTGACGCTGCAGAAAAAAGGCAACATTGCAAAAAGTCACCACCAGAGCCCCAGACCCCACCGTTCTGGATCGACCTGTGAGGGTTCTGGGCCCGAAACTAGGCGCAAACGCCCGTTGTGAAAAATGTGCCACGCCAGGATCTCGGGGTCCCCATCTTGGGCGCCCCCGCGGACTCAGACCCCGACGTCATGATTTTTTCGCGACGCGACCCCCAGAGGTCTCGAACCCTTCCCCTGGTCAGGCTCTTCATCCTGAGCCGTTTTTTGACGGTCCCGAGGCCCGGCGAGAGCCCCCGGCCATGCGGAGGAGGAGGAGGAGGAGGAGGAGGAGGAGGAGGAGGAGGAGGAGGAGGAGGAGGAGGAGGAGGGGAGGAGGAGGAGGAGGGAGGAGGAGGAGGAGGAGAGAGGAGGAGGAGGAGGAGGAGGAGGAGGAGAGGAGGAGGAGGAGGAGGAGGAGGAGGAGGAGGAGGAGGAGGAGGAGGAGGAGGAGGAGGAGAGGAGGGAGGAGGAGGAGGCGGAGGAGGAGGACCTCCCCCCTCCCGTCCTCCCTCCTCCCCCGAGGAGGGGGCCTGGGGACGCCGCCCCGAGGACGAGCCGCGGCCGCGCGTCGCGGGCGCGCAGCTCCTCCGCCGGCAGCCGCAGCGGCGCGGCGCCCGACCGCAGCTGGCGCTCGGCCAGCCGCCCAGCGCGGCGCCCGTCGGCCAGCCGCTCGGCGCGGCGCTCGGCGCTCGGCGCCGCGCGGCCCTCCCCGGAGGCCGCCCGGCCGCGCTCGGCCGGCCGCAGCGGGCGCCTCGCGAACCTCGGCGCGCACAACTGCCGGCCCCTCGGCGGAGAAGAATCCCCGGCCTCGTTCTAAGGCGAGCGTGTCCCTCTACAGGAGGGATGTTCAAAATAGTAGAGAAATGGTTTGGGGACATTTTTTGGGGTGTTTCGGTGTTTTTTTGATTATTTTTTGTTTTTCTTCCAAGCTCCGCCTGTAGGAGAACATGCCCCTTGGGGAAGAACTCCTGGCCTCGTTCCCGCCCGCCCTGGCAGGGCCGCCTATACGAACCGACTCGATGCGGCTCGATTCGCCAGCCAGGGCCGCGATTCCGATTCAATTCGATTCGATTCGATTCGGGACGATTCAATTCGATTCGATTCGATTCGATTCAATTCGATTCGATTTCGATTCAATTCGATTCCGATTCCGATTCGATTCGATTCGATTCGGCTCGACTCACCGACCCAGGGCCAGCCAGAGCCCGGCGCAGCGATCCGATCTCGATTCGATTCGGGACGACTCGCTGGCGATGCGAGCCGTTTCCGAGCCGATCCGACTCAGCGATTCGATCCAGCGCAGGCCTGCCTGGGATCCTGGCGGGTATAGACTCCAGGCGATGCTTAAGAAAACCCAAGTTTTCGGCCAGAGTCTCGATTATTCTTAATGCTTCAATGTAAATCCTAACATTTGAATAGACATTCTGGGTTTCATTTCAAATTCTGAGACCATGAATTTCTTAACCCATGATTTCTAAAGCATTTCGCAGGGTGTAGGGGAGCTGGTCAGTGATTGGACACCGAAGCCCAAAACATAGGCCGTAATCACCAAAAACCAGGTCTGCCGTAGCTGGTGTTTTTCGGGTGACGGTAGTTCCGATTGGTTGAGTGGGGCGGGGGGGGGCGTCGACCGGTACACCTCATAAAAAACCAGGTCCTATCCAACCCAGTCCTGCCAACGCTCGATCCTGGCGTTGCATTTTTTTGCAACGGGCATTTTCGTCGTGTTTCGGGCCCCGAGGCCCTCGCAGATCGCTCCGGCTGCGACAAATGCTGCAGGAAGATGGGCGCCGCGTCGTTTCCGCTTCTTTTGGCTGGGCGGATTCGGTAACAACATTGGAGCCTTGTACGTCCTTGCTGTTTCGTCCTTAGCGTGTATCAGTGTGCTCTAGGGCCTGGTATGTAGTCTATGAGCAATCGTCGATTTAGCGTCGACAAGCGTCGACAAGCGTCGATTAGCGTCGGCCAGTGTCGATTCGCAAGAGCCACCACGATGGCATGGAAGGCTCCCATGAGTTGCCACATAGGGCGTAAACCATTTCCGTGTCCACGGCCTCGCGGGCAGGGCCTCTTGGGCCGCTATCCGGTTGATACAGGGCGTTTTTTCGCGGATGCCCTGCGCGGAGCGTACCCGTGCGACCGCGTATCCATAGGATCGCGCCCGGAAGTCCAGACTCAGACCGCGAGGGCGTGGATAATTATGCATACGTTTACCGCTCGTGAGCCTCTCGGCCTCCTGGGGACTCTGAGATCCGGGCGTGGCAACTTTCTCCCTCCGGGCATTCTCGCCTGGCTTCGGGCCCTGGGACTATCACGGACCGATCCAGCTCGAAAACTGGCGCAGAAAGATGGGGCTTAGGGATCCGAGGTCGTGATTCATTCGATGTCTTTTTTGTGCCGTCGGACCGCTGGGTCTCTCGGCCTCCTGGGGGGCCCTCGTCGCCACCTGGTCGCATCGCACCCCGGGAGGTCCGTGGAGCAGCGGTGGCGGCATCGGTATGTCGTTTTGTGTTCCCCCCCAGGATCGAGGTCGGCATCTGGAACGACGGGGAGTTCGGGGTCGGCAGGCGCGTCATCCGGATCGCCCGTGCGATCTGGGAGGATGCCAGGTTCCAGGAGAACGGCGGGAAGACGCAGGTGATGGGGGAACGAGGTTCGAGGCTCCGAGGTTCGAGGCTTTCGGATGTTTTCGCCGTTATCGTCGGCTTTCCAGCCTCAGGATGCCCTCGGCAGCTGCGCCTCGCCGAGAGCGTGGCGGGGGCGCCCAGATCGCCCCGAATGGCCGCCAGTTAGCAGAGCGACGGCCCGAAAGCCAGGGGGCAATGTCAGGGGTCATAGGCTCAGGGGGGGATGCATCGGCCCCCAATCGCCCACTGATCGCCGATGGGGGCCTGGCAGCCCACCCGGTGCAGGAACGCGTGGGCTCGTCATGGGATGCCCATCGCAGACTTCTCGGCGATACGTCGCCGGTTCCAGGTCGACGCCTCCCCCCTCCGAGCTGGCCCCCCCTAGCGTCTCTCCTCAGCAGGTGAGGGGGAAGGGCATCGGCGGGAAGTTCGAGGCCGACGAGCCACTGTCCCTGTGCATCTGGTGCCACGACGAGGCCCTCTTCGACAAGGCAGTGGGGGTCGCCCAGGCCGAGCTCCGGAAGGTCCGCAGGGACTACAGGAGTCGACTCCGATATTTGGACGTTCCGATGCCTTGGCATCGCTCGGACGTGTGCATTTTTCCTTCGGCAAGGACCATCGAGGAGCATCCTTGATCATTTGGCGAAAAAACCACGCACGAAATCGAAAAAAGCACAGGGAATGGACGTCCGAGCGATGGCCAGATGCGGTCCCATGCTTGGTCGGGCGCTGCTGTGCGTTCTGGCACGGCCCATCCGATTCGACTCCGACCCTGTGACGATGCGGCCCGATCCGACGCACGTCCCGACTCGATCCGACTTTCCCACTCGAGGCTGACTGATCTGGATGCCGATGCCGCTACTCCCTGGACTTCTACTGGGGTACGAGCTGACCAGAACTTCGAGGATAATCTAGCCGTGGCGATGAGGTCTTTCCAGGACGAACAGCGGTATCTCGGGTGCCCCCCCTTAACGTTGTGGCGACAACACCCTGTTGTGAGTCAGTGGGGGTTCGGGGTCACCGCGCAGTTTTGGGACTCGGTCGTTCTCCGAGGACGTCTCGGGCGCTTGGGGCTTCCATGGTCCCAAGGCCGTGCGGCGACGGACCGCGCGGCAGGTCGTTGGGGATTTCGAGGTCACCACGCGGTCTGTCACCACACGGTATTGGGGCCCGGAAGTATTGGTACCTCTTCTTCCCCTGTCTCGAGAGGAGTCCAGCAGTGGCGACGAGGCCCCCCCAGGAGGCCAAGAGACCCTGCGATCCCACGACAGCAAAAATACAACATCGCGACGATCACGACCTCGGATCCCCAAAGTACCATCTTTGGGCGCCATTTCTCGAGCCGGATCCATCTGTGATGGTCCCGGGGCCCGAAGCCAGGCGAAAACGCCGGGTGGGAAAACATTGTCGCGCCCAGAGCTCAGGGCCCTTGTCCTTTTTTGCCAGACCCCCGACGTCATGATTCTTTCATCACGTCGACCCTCTGAGGTCTCGACTCATTCCCTGATA